TCACTGGGCTAATATAGAGGTTTTGTTAGGTCTGTATTCCTTCTGGAAGTCTAAGGGAGGATCTGTCTTTTACCCTTTTCAAACTTTAGAAGCTGCCCTCATTCCCTGTCTTTTGCCCCTTCCTCCATCTTCAAAGCCAGCAGTGGCTGGTTGAGTCTCTCACATCACATCACTCTGACACTGACTGTTTTGCCTCCCTCTTCCACATTTAAGGTTCCTTGTGATTACATTGGGCCCATCCAGGTAATCTCCCTATTTTAAGATCAGCTGAGGAGCAACCTTATTCCATCTGCTACTTTAATTCTCATTTGAGATGTGTCCTAGTCCATTCAGTCTACTATAACATAAATACCATAGATTAGGTGGCTGGTAACAACAAACATTTATTTCTCATAGTTCTGGAGGCTGAGGAGACCAAGATGAAGACACTGGCAAGTCAGGTGCCTGGTGAGAGTCTGCTGCCTCATGGACTGTGTCTTTTCACTGTAACCTCACAGGGCAGATGGGACAAGCTAGCTTTCTAGAGCCCTTTTTATAAGGGTGCTAATTCCACTCACCAGGGTCCCAGCCTCATGACCTAATCACCTCCCAAAGGCACCACCTCCTAACACTATCACATTGGGCATTAGGTTTTCAACATATGAATTTCAGTGCAGGGAGAGGGACATCAACTTTTAATCCATTGCACCATGTAAGATAACATATTCACAGGTTCTAGGGATTAGGACATGGACATATTTGGGACACCGTTATTCTGTCTACCACACTTAGTAAAAATAAAACTATGTGTGCAATAAATAAATACTTTGGTCAAAACACTGTCTTTAATGGGAAACATGTCAGTGATTTACAGGGTTGTCACATAAAATACAGGATGCCTACTTAAATTTAAATTTCAGATAAACCATGAATAATCTTTTAGAACATGTTTGTCTCAAATGTTGTACAGGATATATTATGCCAAAAACAGTAGTGATTGTTTATCAGAAATTCACGTTTCACTGGGTGTTCTATATTTTTACTTGCCAAGTCTATCAAGCCTCTTGATTTAGTATTAATAAAAACAAATACACATTTATTCTAAGTTGTCCATCTGTGAGAGCAAAAATAAGAAAACATCATTTAATGTTATGTCACAGGACTCCTTTTAAAAGAAGTACTAAGATTCCTTGATGTGTCACCAATGTGAAATTGCCCTATAGTTTGATCTTTTCAGTATATCTTCAGTGGTGTTCATCATCTTTCTTTGATCAAGTGTTTCACTTGAAATTACTCTCTTTAAAGAAACCACTCCTCCATCTTACATTCATTAAGGGGCATTTAGGATTAAAAATCCTTTAATGCCAAGAGGGCTGGGAGATCTGCAAAATAGCTGACAATACTCATTTTTGGGTAGGTCCTCTTGAGGAATTAAAAATACATCAAATTGTAATTCTTGAACTTAAAATACAATATCTGAAATAAAAACGACAATGGATGGGTTTAACAGCAGTTTGGGTATAGCAGAAGGAGATCTGAGGGTTAGAGTACAGATCAATGGAAAATTTCTGGATCAAAACATAGAGAAATAAAACATTGGAAAATACAGAAAATCACCTAAAATACATGTGAGAGCACACTGAGAGGTGTAATGTATATGGAACTCTATTTCTAGGAGGAGATGAGAGAGAGCACAGAGCAGGAATTCTTGAAGGGATAATGGCTGGAGATGTTCTAAAATCAATGAAAGATATTAACTCATATATTCAAAAAGCTCTGCAAAACACAAACAGGATATAGACAAAGAAAACTATACTGAGACTTATCAAAGAAAAACCTTGTTCTTGGAGAGTCTCATCCTTTGGTTTAGACATAGTTGGCAAAAACATCATGTGCTAATTTTGTTAGACTTAGCCAGATGAACTCATTAAAATAATGAACTAGCTGCAGTGTTTAACATACTTTCTGTCTTTCTTTTTTTATTCTCATGGTACGTTAGCACAATAGGATAGGCATGATTTTCTTCTTTTAAGTCAAAGTTAGCAGGTTTAAAGAGTTAGAGTCAGATACAAGTTGTCTTGATTGGAAAGCAGTCTGCCAATGCCCCAAATTCTGAGGTTATCCTGTTTTTTTTAAAGTCCAAATTAAACAACTTTAGCTCCCAGCCCTTGTAAATTAAGGCAAATATTCAAGTGTTTCTCAAGATTCCCAGTTGGTGCTTATGCTCACAATATTTTGTCCCAACACCTACTTTCAGCTTCTCCAAACCTTCTCTGTGCAATTCCACCTCACTTCCTGTGGCAATCACCACCCTCCCTGCTTCGTGACTTTGCACCACGTATGATTGATTCCCTCTTCAATTTCTCAAGATTTCACGTTCACAACGCCATTTAGTGAAAGAGGATTTTGTGAAAATTTGAAAGTGATGATATATGGTTACCACACAGAAGTGTCAAAAATAAAATTGGAGGGGCCAGTCCCATAGCAGAGCGGTTCAGTGCACGTGCTCCACATAAGCAGCCCAGGGTTTGTATATTTGGATCCTAGGCATGCACCAATGCATTGCTTGTCGAGCCATGCTGTGCCGGCATCCCAGGTAAAGTAGAGGAGGAGGGGAATGGACGTTAGCCCAGGGCCAGTCTTCCTAGGCAAAAAGAGGGGCATTGGCATTGGATGTTAGCTCAGGGCTGATCTTCCTCACAAAAAATAGAATAAAATAAAATAAAATTGGAAATCAGAATGCACTTGTGAAATAGGGTAAAGGAAACTTCATTTGAAATGAAGTCAAAGGATGGGAACTAAACTTTTGGGGGTGAATATGGTACAATCTATACAGAATTCTAAATATCATGATGTATACCTGAAATTTCTGTAATGTTATAAACCAATGTGACCTCAAGAAAAAAGAAAAAAAATTGAGGTTGAGGGTCCAAAAGTGGGAAGTCTCACATTCTACCACTCAACATTAATTACAAGAAGAACAGTAAGTTACAGACCCCCAACATGAAGACAGGTCCACGGCACCCCAAGAAGAAATGGGCTACCCCAGCAACTCAGCCAATGAGAACCGTCACTACACTGAACTCTCACTTTCCACCAGTGGACTTTTGTTCAAAGTAATGCATCTTGAATTCCTTCTTTTTCTCTGTAAAGTAATATTTCTCTCCTTTGTTTGCTGGACTTGCCTATGACTTTTGCTATAGCTTATTTACCCCGAATTACAATTCTTGTGCTGCTCCCAAGTAAATCCATTTTGCTGATGAAATAACTGGCTGTTTTATTTGTTTAGGTCAACACATTTTCGCTAAAAGTTTCCAGACATTCTTAGTAATTAATCTCTCCAGGCCATGTCTTGTTATATTATAGACACACAAGTTCCTGTGGAAGCAAAAACTCCTTTCATTTTTAATCTCTGATTCCAGGTGGGTAGCCAAAAAGTTCTTTTAATTTTAGAAATGTAGAGCTACTTAGCTCTTACTTGCTTTCATCTCTGTTTTACAGATGTACACAGATGTCTTGTTTTTCAAGATCAAAATAACTATTAAACTGTTTTCTTTACCAAAAGAGCACTTTCTCCCTGAATGAATTGTGCCATCCGCCTAGAACACAGGAATGAGTGACATTGTTATGATGTCGCTCAGTAACACATTTACCCTGTTAAACTTCATCTCATCTGTACAGTCAAAGATGAATACTTCTGGACACCAAGAGAGTGACACATCTATCATAAATAAAGAAGCCATATTAGTAAGTGAATGATCAAATCAAGAGAGGGCTGAAGATAGAGTGAGGCCAGTGGAGTTGTGCAATTACAGAATGAGATCCTGTCCTCATGTAAAATATTGATTACCTGTTGATTATGGTTTTTTTGCATTAATTTTAATTAAAATATTGCATTATATGATTTATCTTGATTACAGAATTTTTGGCAGCCCCTTAACATTTTGCAACCGAGGCAAGGGATTAGCTCTCCTCACCCCAGTCTTGACCCCAATATCAGGTGTCTCTATCTGGATAAAAATATTTTTATTTGACAAAGTCTGATTTCTCTTTTAAATCTGGCATCTCAAGAAAACACAAGAGACTATTTTGGAGCAAAATAGCATTTACCCAGAGGTAAATTATAGGTGCGTTGAGTGAAGAATTAATGTCGAGAGACAGAGAGCTGCTTATGTATACAGGCTACCTCAACTGAACTCTAGATTTAACCACCGAACCCTCCCTAGGGAGGGCAGCAGGGTGAGAGCAGCATCCTCATTGTTCCCTGGCTGCCTACAGTCTCTTTCTTTTGGTGTTCAGACACCAATCACTGTGTTCCATGTATACCTGTCTGCATTTAATCCTGCTTTCATAAGGACTTGTTTTTCCACAGCACATACTTGCATGCTATGACGTCCACATGGAGAGAAATGCTTTAACCAGCTCAGCTTTGCTGTAGTAATTTATGAAGTAATGTCTCCCCTCGACGACCAGCACATAAATGAATAACACAGAGTTCACACCCATAGAGTTCGTAGACTCCCACAGAGAATGAAAAGTTTACCCCATGTGTACAAGGCAGGGCTGAGTCAGAAGCTCAAACCAAAGGAAGTGAGGAAGTGGGGAGCCTAGAAAAGGGAGAGGTTGCTTCCTGTGCAGATCAGTTATGGTTTCCTGAAGGAAGGAGGTGGTGTTCCAGTGGGGACTGGATGAAGGAGGCCCATATCTGAGTCTGATGGGAGCAGGTGAGGGCAGGAAGAACAAACAGCATGTTACAAGACAGCACAGACGGTAACTGGGGAAGGTCAGGTGACCAGAAGAGCAAAGGATGGTCCCACTTGGTGGTCCCCATGGTCAGTATGGGGGGCTTAGAGGGAATCCTCAAGGATTTTGGAGACCAGCCTGAGTGATCAAACACTGCACAACAACCACAATGACAAGAAGGCAAGAGGTTTTGTCTTTTAACAAAGCGTTTTAATCTGGTTTAAATTTTACATGTGTTCAGAAAGGGAGCAGTTTCTGACGCCACAACAATGACAGCAGTTTCTCTGCTTTCTTATTAATTTCATCTGCAGCATTTTGAAAGGGGCGAGCCACAGGTGCCAATCTGTCTCATCCCTGGACTGCACCTAAACAGCACGCATCTGTCTGCATTCAGACAGCTGCAGCATTCAGACGGCAGCTAACAGGAATTCTTTTTTTTTTTATTGATGTTTTAATGGTTTCTAACATTGTGAAATTTTGGGTTGTACATTTTTGTTTGTCCATCACCATATACATGACTCCCTTCACCCCTTGTGCCCACCCCTAGCCCCCACCCCCTCTGCCCTTGGTAACCACAGTCCAGTTTTCTCTGTCCATGTGTTGGTTTATATTCCACATATGAGTGGGATCATACAGTGTTTGTCTTTCTCTTTCTGGCTTATTTCACTTAACATAATACGCTCCAGGCCCAACCAAGTTGTTGCAAATGGGACGATTTTGTCTTTTTTTATGGCTGAGTAGTATTCCATTGTATATATATATACCACATTTTCTTAATCCAATCATCAGTCGAGGGACACTTAGGTTGCTTCCACTTCTTGGCTATGGTGAATAATGCTGCAATGAACATAGGAGTGCATAAGCCTCTTTGGATTGTTGATTTCAGCTTCAGCTAACAGGAATTCTTATGCTTTGAGTATAACATAAAAAGAAATTAAAAAAGACAAAAGAGTGTCAGAAATCAAAGCACCGAGTCAGAAAGACGCACTGTGTCCCCTTGAGCTAATTCTCAGGTCTTTCCTTCCCAAGGCTGCAGTCATTCTGTCACATAGTAAGACTTGCAGTTTTCAGGCAGAGACTGGCACCGCGGAGGTTCCAGTGGGGCCTTGCATTTCTAGAACCAGAAGGCTGTGCTCTGTGACCCAGTGACTGGGCTTTTCCAGGGCTCTGTGCAAGTTCATCTTCCCCACGGGAGAGAATCTCCTCAACGCTATGCTAAGTTGGTTCTCACACACAGGATGGTGGCTTCAGAATCAAACAGCCAGCCTGTGTCTATTTTTATTGTTTTGTTTTCCAAGTCCTTTAGTCGATTATGTATTTCAGCTGAGATGGGAGAAAAAATGCAGATTAAAGGGTAAGAATTGTTTAATGAGAACTTAATATCTAAATAACCTACAATGGAAAATCACAAAGGTTAAAAAAACTTTTTGTAAAATTGATTCTAATATCTGAGAATTCACTCAGATGTGGTCTGGGTCTCACACATCCTTCCCCCCCTTCATTGCTTGCTTCCATCATTTCTGCCTTCTCATCTTCCTCATATTTCTGTCTTCCTAACTTGTTTTGCATCCTCCTTCCCTCCCTCCCCGCTACTGTTCTAAGCGTTGCAATATAGTTGTAAATAAAATTGATAAAAAAGGGTTTTTCAATATAACTTCTAATTAGCAGCTATTTCAGGTCTCATCCTCAAATTTTCTCTCTCCCTTCATCTTTTCATCCCTCTCTCCATCTCTCCCTTCCTCTCTCCTTCCTTCCTGTATCCCTTTTATTCTATTTCCATAATGCCAAGGATAAAATAAAAATTAGTCATCTAATTTGAAAAACTACTTTGGATGGACTGTCTCCCAGCTGTGAACGGAGAGTAGGGCTCTCAGGCATGTGTCCTAGACGACCTCAGAGCTGCAAAAACAGAGACACAGAGGTGCTCCCCAAGGGCAGATCCCAAGTGCAGGCTGGATTTTGTTATTCACTGGGATTCTCTATTACCTAGAGACTCCAGCCTTTAAACAGAAGATGTATAAAGTGACATTCTGTACTTCTGTCCTTGGAGAAAATCAAATTTCTTGCTTTTATGAAAAAAGAATAGTCACCTGACAGAGGTGTCCTCTGTTATGCAGCAGTTTTAACATGAAGAGTAGTGAGGAGATGAGATTTACAGGCTACCTGGCTCCCTCAGATTGGCTGAGAAAAGGTTGAGAACTGTGCAGTAAAGTTCTTCGAGACCTTCCATCTGGAAGGACATGGTGCCTGGTTCTCATAAGCCATTCATATAATCTATTTGATCTAAGAATGCATGTAAAAGAGAGAATAGGCAGAAGGAGAGGGAGAGGGAAAGATAGATGAAAAGGAAGAGAGAGAGGGAGATGCAGACATGGATAAAGAGGAGAGGGAGAGAAAAGGAAGAGGGGGGAGAAAGAGTGAGATTCTGTCCTATTCTTTCCATTTGCTCAGTTCTCTGTCCTCCTTGCCCACCTTATCTGGAACAGGCAACAGGATGACAAAGAGCACTGCAAGCAGCAGATGAAGGATCCTCATGCTGATGGCCGGCGAGCTTAAGAGCAAGCTGAGACCAGAGAGGAAGCTGAGCTTTGCACCTTCTAAAGATTTCAGGTTACCAGCATAACTTAGTATCTGCTGAAACTTTGGTAATTAGGAAAACCTCTCCTGCCTTTGAGGCCAGAAATTCTTCCTGTCTTGCTCAGTTGGGGTGGTGCATGGATAGGGTGAGGGGCCAGGGTTTTCTCCATGTGGGGACAGACTTCCTGGCAATCATTTGCCTGCCTTCTAAGAGCAACAATTGGCTTACATACATTCACCTATACTAGGTATTTCTATTCTAATTCTGTCAGAATATATTATATTACATTCTATTCTATTCTATTCTATTCTATTCTATTCTATTCTATTCTATTCTATTCTATTCTATTCTATTTTATTCGTAATATGTATATTAAAGAGCTGTGTACAAATATATAGCCAAATACTTAAAAACTGTGTAGATGTGAATCTTTTTACTATTAAATTCCCTCAACCAAGAAAGACCAACGGCCATTCTCTTATCTCTTTCCTCTTAACCTCTGTTGACCTCTTCCTGAGTCTCATGGATATTTTTATTTAATTCTGTCTTCATTGTAATTTTCTGACAAAGAGACCGTATACTTATTCTTGAAGAAACAGATTGCTAAAGCTTCTGATTTGTGTTTGATTGACTTGGACCACTCTGTGAGTTCAAGTAGAAGCTTGTGGAGAATTTCCTGCAAATCTGTCCCCACTGCCGGAAAGTCAACTAGAGGCTGATGAAAGTCAGCAGTTACCAACAAATGTCAGCAGATCTCAATTCAGAAAAGGCGAACAGAATTCCATTTGTTTGTTATTCTTTTTCCCAAATCATCTGGTTTATTGAGTTTGAGTTTGGGTGGGAAGAAACCTAATTGCTTTATCAACTTTTAATCACCTAAGTGCTAACATGTGAACTCAATAATACAGTTATAGGAATAAGAGATTTACAACAATATTTCTTATTTATGCAGTTTTCTCACGTTCCTTCTCTCTCTTCTTCCCTCCCACCCTTCCTTCGTTGCTTCCTTATTCTTTATCTATTTTTCACTTCCATCTCCTTTTTTTTTACATGCATTACTGCAAATGCCAGGACAAGATAAAGGAAGAAAACCAAATAAATGAAGCTCAAGTTCACCTGCAAACCCAAGAAAGATCAATGTACTCCAGATGATTTGCAATGTGAAGAGACTATATGAGGACACATATAGCAAAACTCTCTAAAATGTAAGATGAGTGCTGTAGTCATATTACGAGTTTCTCTAGGTGCCCGAAGACTCCACCATTTAATTATAAAAGGATATACTTAAGAAAGAATAGCCTGAATTTCTATTCTCGGCATAAAATTGATTCTCCTATTTCTATTTGAATGACCCTTAGCTTATGCTTCAAGCACAGATATCGCAGTTTCTTGCCATGAAAAAGTAGTGGGATTTTAACAGTTCATTTGTGAAGTTGGTTAAGAAAAAACAAAAGTCTGCAAAGTGCTTTAATGTCTTACGCACATTCAATGTTAAAGGAAGAGTGCTTAGTTTTAATGAGCAGTTCAAATAATCTATTTAGTCTAGAGAAAGAATGAGTAAGAAACTTGAGTTTATCCTCAAATTATTTCAAGACTTATTTCTCAGATCCATCATATCTGCAGCAGGAACAAGAATAAAAATGGCAATGTGAAGAAAAGATAATAGAGCCTCACAGCTTATGCTTAAAAACTCATGGACTAGCCAAGGATGAAGAACAACGTGATTTTTTTTTTCCAGTTTCTATTAAGATTAAGGCACCATGGTTACTTGCAGACTTCATGTTTGCAATTCTTTTTTATTTTTTGTATTTATTTCTTTTTTCTTTATTTTTTTATTGTGGTAACATTTGTTTTTAAAGTTGCATAAATTTCAGGTGTACATCATTATACCTCTATTTCTGCATAAAATACATCATGTTCACCACCCAAATACTAATTACAATCCATCACCACACACATGTGTCTAATCATCCCTTTTACCCTCCTCCCTCCCCCTCCCTCCTTCCCCTCTGGTAACCTCCAATCCAATCTCTGTCTCTATGTGGTTGGTTGTTGTTGTTTTTATATTCTTCTTGTGAGTGAGGTCACATGGGATTTGACCTTCTCCCTCTGACTTATCTTGCTTAGCATAATATGGTCAATGTCCATCCGTGTTGCCACAAATGGCTGGATTTGATCATTTCTTATTGCTGAGTAGTGTTCCATTGTGTATATGTACCACATCTTCTTTATCCATTCTTCCCTGGATGGGCACTTAGGTTGCTTCCAAGTCTTGGCTATTGTGAATTATGCTGCGATGAACACAGGGGTGCATGTATATTTACACGTTGGTGTTTTCATGTTCTGTGGATAAATATCCAGCAGTGGAATAGCTGGATCATATGATAGTTCTATCTTTAATTTTTTGAGGAATCTCCATACTGTTTTCCATAGTGGCTGCACCAGTTTATACTCCCACCAGCAGTGTATGAGAGATCCTTTTTCTCCACATCCTCTCCAACAGTTGTTGTTTCTTGTGTTGTTCATTATAGCCATTCTGATGGGCGTGAGGTGATATCTCATTGTAGTTTTGATTTGCATTTCCCTGATAGTTAATGAAGTTGAACATCTTTTCATGTACTTGTTGGCCACCTGTATATCGTCTTTGGAGAAATGTCTGTTCAGGTGTTTTGCCCGTTTTGTCAACTGAGTTAGTTTTTTTGTTGTTGAGATGTATGAGTTCTTTATATATTTTGGAGATTAACCTCTTATCAGACATAGGGTTTGCAAATGTCTTTTCCCATTTGTTAGGTTGTGTTTTCGTTTTGTTGATGGTTTCCTTTGCTGTACAGAAACTTTTAAGTTTGATGTAGTCCCATTTGTTTATTTTTTCTATTGTTTCTCTTGCCCGGTCAGAAATGGTACTTGAAAACACGTTGCTAAGACCAATGTTGAAGAGTGTACTTCCAATGTTTTCTTCTATAAGGTTCATGGTTTCAGGTCTTACGTTCAAGTCTTTAATCCATTTTGACTTAATTTTTGTATACGGTGTAAGATAATGATCTATATTTGTTTTTTTGCATGTGGCTGTCCGGTTTCCCTAACACTGTTTTTTGAAGAGACTTTCCTTCCTCCATTGTATGTTCTTGGCTCCTTTGTCGAAAGTGAGCTCTCCACAGATGTGTTGGTTTATGTCTGGGCTCTTGATCTATGCCAATGATCTGTGCCACTATCATGCTTTTTTGGTTACTATAGCTTTGCAGTATATTTTGAAATCAGGGAGTGTGATACCTCCAGCTTTGTTCTTTTTTTCTCACAATTCCTTTGGCTATTCGGGGTCTTTTGTTGTTCCACATAAATTTTAGGATTCTTTGTTCTATTTCTGTCAAAAATGTTGGAACTTTGATAGAGATTGCATTGAATCTTTAGATTGCTTTAGGAAGAATGGGCATCTTAACTATGTTAATTCTTCCAATCCAAGAGCATGAGATATCTTTCCATTTCTTTGTGTCTTCTTCAATTTCTTTCAGTAATATTTCATAATTTTCAGTGTACAGATCTTTCACCTCTTTGCTTACTTTTATTTCTAGGTATTTTATTCTTTGTGTTGCAGTTGTAAATGGGATTGTATTCTTAATTTCTATTTCTGCTGATTCATTGTTAGTGTATAGAAACACAGGTGATTTTTGTATGTTGATTTTGTATCTCACAACTTTACTGTATTCATTAATATTTTTATTTTATTTTTTAACCATTTTTTTATTGTGAAATTTTTGTTGTACTTATTGTTTATAAGTCACCATATAAGTGCATCCCTCCACTCCTTGTGCCCACCCCACCACCACCCTAGCCCCTGGTAACCACCAAACAGTTCTATCTGTCCGTGTGTTGGTTTATCTTCCAGATATGAGTGGAATCATACACGTTTGTCTTTCTCTTTCTGGCTTGTTTCACTCAACATAATACCCTCCAGGTCCATCCATGTTGTTGTAAATGGGATGATTTTGTCTTTTTTATGGATGAGTAGTATTCCAAGGTATATATATACCACATCTTCTTTATGTAATCATCAGTCGAGGACCACTTGGGTTGCTTCCATGTCTTGACTATAGTGAATAATGCTGCTATGAACATAGGGGAGCATAAGCCTCTTTGGATTGTTGATTTCAGGTTCATGGTGTAGATACCCAGTAGTGGGATAGCTGGATCATAAGGTATTTCTATTTTTAATTTTTTGATGAATCTCCATACTGTTTTCCATAGAGGCTGCACAAGTTTGCATTTCCACCAGCAGTGGATTAGGGTTCCCACTTCTCCACAGCCTCTCCAGCATTTGTTGCTTTTTGTCTTGGTGATTATAGCCATTCTAATGGGTGTAAGATGATATCTTAGTGTGGTTTTGATTTGCGTTTCCTTGATGATTAGTGATGTGGAGCATCTTTTCATGTGCCTATTGGCCATCTGTATATCTTCTTTGGAGAAGTGTCTGTTCGTTTCCTCTGCCCATTTTTTTACTGGGTTGTTTGTTTTTTGTTGTTCAGTTGTGTGAGTTCTTTATATATTATGGAGATTAATCCCCTGTCAGATATGTGGTTTGCAAATGTTTTTTCCCAGCTGGTGGCTTTCCTATTCATTTTGATCCTGGTTTCATTTACCTTGTAGAAGCTCTTTAGTCTGATGAAGTCCCACTTGTTTGTTTTTTCTTTTGTTTCTCTTGTCTGAGCAGACATGAAATTCAAAAAGATCCCTTTATGGCTGATGACGAGTAGTGTACTACCTATATTTTCATCCAGGAGTTTTATAGTTGCAGGTCTCACCTTCAGGTCTTTGATCCATTTTAAGTTAATTTTTGTGTATGGCAAAAGAAGATGGTCAACTTTCATTCTTTTGCAAGTGGCTGTCCAGTTTTCGCAGCACCATTTATTGAAGAGACTTTCCTTTCTCCACTGTATGTCCTTAGCTCCTCTGTCAAAGATTAGCTGCCCATAGATAC